CGTTTGCAGAGCTTGTAGCAGAAGTATTGTGATCTGCTTGATAGGCCTTATTTTCTAGCCATTTGAGGTTGCACAAACAGATTATCACACAGCTGGTGGATAAATTAGTATCGGGATGATGGGTTGAGTTCAGCTGGGTGGTTCCAAGTTCTAAAACTCAGGGGTGTCAAACTCGCAGCGACACATGGCATATCGGGACATTTTCCCCCTTGGCTAAACTGAGCATATGGGCTTGGCCAGCACACTACACATCCGGCCCGAAGGCCGGGAGTTTGACAGCCCTGTTCTAACCTGATACCTAAAGTTTTAGGTTCAGGAAGTTCTAACAATGTTCTAATCACATCTTTTCTGTGACGCTGTGGCAGAATCCACAGTGCCTTAAACCTTTCCCCCCATACACTGATGTTAACAATCCTTCTCTTGTGAAGAGAGCAGAAAAGGCTGCCATAAGTACAGACCTATGGCAAGTATCTTGCCTAAGTAGTAATTTACAATATTTACTGTGTTTATGTAGTCCGGCAGCCACGGTGACTTTTCAAGGAAAACTGCACTGCACTCCCTGTTTGCCCCAAGGCTGCAGATATGTCGTCTCGCAGGGTGGTGCCTAGGCTGCTGCTGGTGCTGGGAATTTAGACCAAGTCCTTTCCCTAACTTTTTTTTTTTTTTTTTGTAAATTTTATTTGAGTTTTCACAAAGAAATACAAATAAAACATCTTTTTTGAAAGTAGTGTAATCCCGGGTTACATTTCTTCGTACAGACACAAATTCAATTTCATGCTCCTTTTTATGTTCTATTCCATATCTTATTACTATTTTACATTTTCTACATAGCTTCTCCCCTCTTTTAATTTTCTCAATTTTATTTTAATTATCTCATCTCAATTCAAATCATTATATTTATACTTTTTGTCTGTCCTGTTTCAATTTCATATTATCTTTTCTCATTAAACAAAGTTTCTCCTGTAGTTACTGATTGGAGTATGACACCTTTATATCTTTTAATTTTATCCATTTAACTCTTATTTAAGCTTCAATATATACCGTATTTGCCGGCGTATAAGACGACTTTTTTGCCCCGAAAAACATGCCTCCAAGTGGGGGGGTCGTCTTATATGCCGGTATATCCACTGCCGGCTTTTGGATGCTTGTTGGATGCAGCGAAGGCGCCTCTGGCTTCCTGGATCCCCTGCGTCGCTTCCGCTTCATCCCGCTCGCCTCGCTCCGCCCGAGGCTGCAGCCTTACTGCTCTTCCCACGGCCCCTGGCACTCTGCCCTGCCGCTGCAGCCCCAGGGATTTCTGGAGGGCGTTTCCGGTGGTGGTGGGGGGTCGTCTTATACGCCGGGTCGTCTTATACGCCGGCAAATACGGTACCTTAAAGTTGTAACATTCAATATAATACAAAACTTCCATTCGGATTCTGCTTGGTACATTCTTAAAATACACACTATATTCTTTTTAAAAAAAGATTATAAATATATATAGTTAAAACAACACATTCCATTCCAATTCAACTCTATCATTAATGTTAATATTCATTAAAATCTTAACTTCTTTAACATTACTTTTCAATTAAATATCATACTTCTATGGGAACAGTTATAAGCTTTCCATAATTAATTCCCCCCTCCTCTTCACTTATATTTTATAAAACATTAACTAATTAAAATGTTCCTGTCCCTTCCTAATTCAATTCTCTCATTTATTTTATTTCATTTATTTTATTAACAAACATTTCACTAGATTACAGTAACTATTTTATCCCTCATTTTAATCATACATTGTTTCTAATTTTCTAAAATTATTTCTATTACTAATATAACAATACAATCTTATGCACATTTACAGAATCCCTTTTTCAGTTAAATGTTCACCCATTATCTCTAAATAAGCCCTGTTTCTCTATATCTTGTTTCTGTCCTTTGTGACTTCTTTTCCTTTCCTTCTTCCCTCTCTTCTTCTCTCTCCCCTTTTTACCCCTTTGTCTCTCTACATCTATTTCTCTCTTCTGTATTCCCCTCTTCTGTTGTTTTCCAATATTATACTTATTTTTCGAACTATTTTTCTTTTCTTTGGTTGTTTTTTTAAGTCTTAAATTCTCCATTCTCTTTCCCCCCTTTCCTTTTTCTTCCCCACATAGGATTACTTGTTCATTAAAGATGGCTTCTTCTTTGTCCCAGTATTCTTGTTTTGCAGACGTTTCTTGTTGTTTCTCATAGTTCCAAATCTCCATTTCTAAGAATTGAAAAACGAAGCCAAAAGAACCTCTCCCTTCTTGTGCATCTTCTTTGTACTTTTTAAGTTCCATTTTCAATTCATCCAGAAGTAGTGCCATTGTATAAATTTTTAAACAACCACCCGATTGATTTTAATCATTCAAGTGCAATAACCAAGAATCCAAAGATCACCAAGTAGTCCAAATACACACAAACTGTTTCTTTTTGCTTTTTTTTCACTTTCTCTTCCTGGGGTTCTACTATTTATTTGCCAAGTTTCAGTTAAAATGTATCTTTTAGAAGTCTTGTTGAGGTTTTACTGTAGATTCCTTTTAATTCCAGGCAGTCTCCTCCCTTTTTTCCAGATCCTGCCCTTTTATTCTTTTTCTCTCCTTTCCTGCTTATAAAAATTTTTTTAGTGTCCAGAAATCTTTATTATCCCTTTGACATTTTATTTTATTTTCAGCTTAATTGCCTGGTGATGTCAAAGCGGATTTCCCCCCCCCCCCACTTTTTTTTTTTAGTCTCTTAGTTGTCAGTATAGTCCTTTCCCTAACTTTTATGAAGTTGGGGGGCAGCTGTGTTTCTCTAGGTTGAAACACACTGTAGCAGGGGTATCAAACTGACATCATCATGGCGGCGTTACGTGACATATTGTGACTTTTCCCCCCTTCGCTAAACTGGGTGTGGGCATGGCCAGCACGTGATGCATCCAGCCCACAGGACGTGAGTTTGACAGACCTGCATTGTAGCATACTTTAGTCTAGTCACCAAGCAGGTAATGGGCAGGGGAAGTGAGGTCCTGCTCCAGAAGTGGTATTCAGCAGGTTCTTCTGACCAGTTCTGGAGAACCAGTAGCGGAAGTTTTGAGTAGTTCGGAGAACCGGCAAACACCACCTCTCACTGGCCCCGCCCCCATCTATTCTCTGCCTCCCGGGTCCCAGCTGATTGGCTGGGTCTTCTTTGGTTGCCCTGCACAGGAGAACGGAGCTGGAAAGCAGGTTAGTGGGGTGGGGAGGGAATGGAGATTTTGCAGTAACCTTCCCCTGCCACGCCCACCAAGCCATGCCCACAGAACCAATAGTTAAAATTTTTGAATCCCACCACTGTCCTGCTTTCTCTAGCTTTAAAGTCCTGCTCCCTCTAGCTTTAAGAAACTGGCTTTTATCCCTGGTCAGTCACTGTAGTTGTGAAGGAAACCATGAGATCATTAAGTGAATCTGGCTTCTCCATTGGCATTGGTTGTCAGAATGTCACAAAAGGTGATCATATCACCCTGGGACTTTGCAACCCTCTAAATATGTCTAAAAATTGTCATAAATATGAGTCAATTGCCAAGCGTCTGAATTTTGATCACGAGACCACAGGGATGTTGCAATGGTCATAATTGTGAAAAATGGTCATAAATCACTTTTCTCAGTGCCGTTGTAACTTTGAATGGTCACTAAATGAACTCTTGTAAGTTGAGGACTAACTGTACTTTTCTAGATGGGATGGGAAGTGAGGGGGGACATAAGATACAGTTATTCAGATGGTGGGTTTAATTTTTGTTAAATTGGCTGTCCTGTCTGGAGAAAGCCTACAAGCCAATGTTTGCACTTTTTACCTGTGCAAGCCTTCATGGAATGCCTTGTGGCCAGCCTCCGCGATAAGGAGATGGAGGAGAAGAATGTTGTCTTTAGCTTATTTAAAGCCATTTAAAATCCCATTCTTTGAATTTTGTTCTAAATATAAGGTGATGACACATTCTTGTTGAAATAATAACTTCACCTCATCCTGCAAGTCTGTAAATGATAACCCCAAACGATCTGCAGTCTTGGAATCTCTCAGCACATGTTCTTACATGTACTGTACTTGGGAGCATTGCATAAACTCTCTTCACCTCTTAATGCTCCCCGTGGCTATCTGGAAGGCTCGCCTTGACGCTCCATTCTACGCCTTTTAGTCTAGTATGCTCGGCGAACCTACTTGCTACCATGGTTAGCCTGTGGTTCAAGAAGTTAGGCACATCTGGAAAGATGGTTAAATTGATCAAGTGAACACAGTCAGTACAACCAATCTCTTATACAACTGCTTGACTAGGTTGCATAAACTATACACAGAGGAGTTGTGACTATTTGTTTGCGCTTTCAGGTCAGTCCTGGTGACGCTTGGACAAGTCTCTGTAATTTTCCTGTCCATATTTTAGAAGTGGGTTACCATCAAGTTCTTTCTAGGGCTGAGAGAGAGATTGGCCCAAGGTGACCCAGATAGCTTTGGGCCTAAGGTGGAATTAGAATTCACAGACTCCCAGTTTCTAGCCTGGTACCCTAACCACTACACCAAACTGGTGGTGCCAGTGGTGGGATTCAAAAATTTTTACTACCAGTTCGTGGGTGTGGCTTCGTGGGTGTGGCATGGCTTGGTGGGTGTGGCTTTGTGGGCATGGCAGGAGAAGATTACTGCAAAATCCCATTCCCTCCCCACCCCACTAACCTGCTTTCCAGCTCCGTCTCCCTGTGCAGGGCAACAAAAGAAGACTCAGGAGGCAGCGAATGGATGGGGTGGGGCCACTCAGAGGTGGTATTTGCCGGTTCTCCGAACTACTCAAAATTTCCGCGACCGGTTCTCCAGAACTGGTCAGAACCTGCTGAATACCACCTTTGGTTGGTGCTCTTGTGCCACTAGCACAAATTGTCTCCAAGGGATGGGGTAAGCCAGCTAGACAGAATTGAACCGGATGGAGCTCAGTCCTTCTGCATGATGCTTGCGTTCTTCTGACTGCTGTGTTCTTGTGCTCCTGACAGGTGGTGATGGAGAACATGAAGCGGAAATGCAAGTGTCATGGAACTTCAGGAAGTTGCCAGCTGAAGACCTGTTGGCAGGTGACTCCTGATTTCCGGCTGGTGGGTTCTGTGCTGAAGGATCGCTTCCATGTGGCAACACTGATCCGGCCCCACAACAGGAACACTGGGCAGATGGACGTGGGCCAGGCCCGCCACCGGCGTCGTGGTGGCATCAGTGACCTGATCTACTTTGAGAAATCACCTGACTTCTGTGAGAGGGAGCCAAAGTTGGACTCTGTGGGCACCCAAGGGCGTTTGTGCAACAAGACCAGCCCAGGCATGGACAACTGTGAAAGCTTGTGCTGTGGACGGGGACATAACATCCTGCGGCAAACACGCAGCGAGCGATGCAACTGTAAATTCCATTGGTGTTGTTTTGTAGCTTGTGAGGAGTGTCGACTCACAGAGTGGGTCAGTGTCTGCAAGTGATATATCTGCGTCCTTATAGGTCCAGCAAAAGTACCATTGTTTGCCTTTGCAGCACTAAGGACGGAGCCTTGCATTAGCACAAGGCAGGGTTTGAGGGAATTGGTACGTGCTAATGTTTCACATCTCCCATCCCTTCCTTTCTGGCCGGTTACATGAGCCCTTGATTCCAGAAGGTCCTGTTGTACAGATTTGAGCATTGGCCTGGCACTTTCAAAACACCAAGACCTGTATAAATATAAGATAATATAATCTTGCTGGAGACCCTGAGGTTGTCTCTGGCTGTTTCTAAGCATTGACACCTTCAGCCGTGCTTCTCAAGTCTATAAACTGCAGTTCCTCAGAAAACAGCCGTCATTCCCACCATGTCTCCTTTCAATTTAATGCCTTTTAAATCCAACACTGAGAACATGGGGTGGGGGGGTTTAAAGGAATACTATCAAATACCTGTTAACCTAGGCCAGATTTGTTCCATTCCAGTTAAAGTGCTAAGTTGTTCAGGGGAGAACAATGGAATAAAATGCAATGTTAGTTGAAAGAAATGTTTCTAAAATGAGATTGACAAGTTGGAGGTACGGAGCTGTCTCTGGAACAAGTGCCACAGGCACTGAGTGCAAATACTGTGGTTCTTAACTTATTTTATTATTGTGCAAATAAAACACAAATCCAAGACAGTAATGTGCATGTGTATACCTGAAGTAGAACCATGGAGTGATTTGTGAGGACTTTCCTTCAGATATTTATGTCATCCTTTCCCCTTTGTGCACCTTTGAGATGTTGTCATTGCAGAATGGACTGGACAGAAAGATTCTGTCTTGAAAGAAAGCTATGCCTGTATTCTCTCTCCTTTAAGCTCCTGGGTTGAGCTCCTTTGGAAGAGCCACAAATGTTTGATGAGAATTCAAATGAGCCTTTCCCAGCTGGGATGTTACACTTATGATTTCCACATGCAGAGACTTGTGAGCTGATTGGCGTGCGGAGTTAGTCATGATGTTTGTAAATTGTTTTTCAGGGGAGTAAACACATTACTCTGCTGCAGGAAAGGTACTATGAGACTTTAAAACGCCTCTAACGTTGTGGATAACAGGTGACAATGCCAGATTCATGAAATGTTATCTTAACTTACAGGCCCACATGGCAAAGATTGTCATCTGTAAAGTCTGTGCAGATTAAAATAAGAAAATGGCAATTGTGTGGTTCAAAATATCTCTCTATGTATTTTCTATAATAATGCCCCTGGCACTGTGCCTATATATGTAGGATTGTGCATTTTGGGACCAAATGCATTTGATGACTGGTTTGGACCCTGAAAATTCATGCTGGAATCCTTAGTTTTTAAGGTGCCACAGAACTCACTGGTTTTGCTAACAAGGTTATCCTGCTAGAAGCCTCTTGTTTTTGTTGCACATTCCGCAAATTAATAGTGCAACCCAGGAAAGTTTAACATGTTTGTTGTAGTGAAGCTATAGGGGTATCTGGCCAGGAACTTACTGCACTCCAGAAGAAGTCTAGGGACTAGGACAGAGGTCCCCAAACTTGGCAATTTTAAGACTTGTGGACTTCAACTCTGGGAGAATTCACAAGTCTTAAAGTTGCCAAGTTTGGGGACCCCTGGACTAGGATGATGCTGAGAAGAACCTGCTTTTAAGATAAGCAGGATGACAGTTTATGTTGGAAGGGACTTTCCTTCCATGGATAAGTAAAGCAGTAGCCCAGGTTTGCAAGAGTGCCATTCATTCTTAAGCATTTGAAAGAGAATATTCTTCTCTAGAACTTAGCAATAAAAATATTGGGCTGTCAATGTCCTAAAGGGAGGGAGTGCTTCTCTTGACTGCTTAGAAAGGGCTCTCATAGAATGGGTGAGCAGGATTTGGTGTTGATATACGAATGATGAAAATGGAGTGAGAAATAAGTAGCTGTTCTAAGCAGCCCCAGCTGCCTGCTTTGCCCTTCCTGGGCTAGGTGGTGATGAATCACCTGATTGGTATTGTGCACTGTCTGATAAATCCCCACCCTGCCTGTAATGTCAGCCCAGAGGCTATGCAGCAGGAATAGGAGACAGGAAGAGTGGGCAGCCTGCATCGGCCTAGCCAATGGGGAGCTTCCTGCAGCTGCACTTCACAAGGGTTTTCAGGCGCTTCAAGGTTGGCAGTGGGTTTGCAGGCAGCCAAGGAGTTGTGGGAGGAGGGGCCAGTCGTCTTCCCAAATGCCTTTCCTGGGAAAGGCACACTTTGATTCTACTTAGGGGTCTCTGTAAGAGCAAGCCCTTCCATTTCAGGTACCTTTGGAAGAATAAGAAGATGTAATAATGCGGCTAAGAGCCCAAGCCAAAGTCCTGTTGAAGGTCTTTCTTACTTCCCACGTAGGTAGCCAAACATAGTTTGCTTCTAGCACCACCTGTGATAGCTTGTAACTCTGGTGAAGGCTTTAGTTACCACTCCTTTTTCAGGCTGGAGATAAGTTGCACCAGTAGGATTTTGTCTTGTCAGGCATACATTAGGTCAGGAAAAGTGAATCTTGAAAATGGAGATTGCCTTCTGATGTATTGGATAAACATGTATGTATGTACATATGTAACTGAACGCATAACCTCCAGGTATGGTGATCTTTGATTTTCTTTGCCTCTAGCCAGTATAGTTTTGACTGCAACCTGCCCCTGAGGCTTCTCAATAATATTCAGGGTGGCTCTCATCCAGTATCTGACTTGGATCTCGTTTTTAAATGGGCCATTTAAATGGAGGTGGAGGGAACTCTACCAAATGCTCTCAATCCCTTTTAGACATGTCAAAAGTCAATAGGCAGCATTGTTTCAGGGGGTTGACCTTGCAAAAAATGTGTGACTGTTGGAATTCTATTGCAATTAAAGCTTGATTGGAAGAGAATTTGGCTTATTTTCTTCCATCTCCATTCCATTTTCATTTATTACATTTATTCTATGATGCCAGAACCAGGAGCAATGTTAAGCATTCGATTTGTTAACCAACGTATTATGTTTAATCTGTGTCCCAATTCTATACTCTTTTTATTTATTTATTTTAATATATAAAAAAGGTCAAGGAATACCTTTACAAAGGTATTCATCACACCAAAGCTTTTACATTTTTTTTCCACCACATACTATCAAATTGCAATTTGCATGTACGTAAATCAGTTTGACTAATCTTAGAAGTGGAGTGATTAAGCAGATGAGCAGAAATAAGGTCTAAATATCTGAGACTTTGAACAGAGGAATAGATTTTCAAATATAGAAAGAAGGGAACTTCTTCAGACGACAGGTAGTCATCATTTAGCATCTGTCTCAGATAGTGACCATTCACAGTTACAAAGGTGATGAAAAAATGACTTTGTGATCAATCATCACATTTCTTCTGACCCTCACAGGTCTATAAAGCAAAGGAAAGCTAAAGTAAGACCATAAGCACAGTCACTTTTGCACTTAATGGCCACTTTGCTTAACAACCAAGTTGCTGATCCTAATTGTTCCTAAATGAGGACTACATTGTGCCACTGACAGGGGAAAATCATCCTTTCATCCTGGTATCCCCTCTCTTTCTCTCCCTCCCTCCCTCCCTCTCTTTCTCCCTCCCCCCCAAAGGAGATGGCCTCAGCCAACAGTGGCAAGGTTTTTGTATTCAGTCAAGAAGCAGGGATCTAGTTTGCTCCCCAAGAACCATGCAACGTAAGAGCTGTTGATGAAGCTCCAATCTCTCTCTCTCTCTCTCTCTCTCTCTCTCTCTCTTTCTCTCTCTCTCTCTCCTTCCCTCCCTCTCTCTCTCTCTCTCTCTCTCTCTCAGCGTGCTGTGCCCATTTCCTTTGTCTACTTGTTGATTTCCGAGGTTGATATTTAATTCAAAAAAACATTCACAAAGCCCAGGGTGCCATCTGCAGTTTTTGAGATAATATACCCCAAAGGGAGGCATGATGATGAAATCTTCCGTCCATCCTGTTTGATACTCAGAGACATCATTCTTCCCTGGCGCACTCCAGTCTCTTGAAAAGCATGGAAAGAAGGGGATGTCGAGCTATTAGGAGAAATAACTGTTGTCAGAAGATAGGGGAAAGTTGTCTTCTGCCAACAGTTATCTCTCCTAATAGCCTGACATCCTCCTTACTTTCAGCAGTCTGAACCCGTGGCAGTTCCTGCACTCCACTTTATCCAAAGAGCTAAGCCTCATGGTTATTCAACGTAGCCACACTTTCAACCAGACTACAGTCAGTCTCCACTTCTTGCAATCCAGCAATATCAGGAACTACTCCCCCACTCCACAAATGATTTTCAGAGGTAAGCCCCACCCCCCACCCCGCCTTCAAACAAATGTGCCACCGCCCGCCTTTCCAAATGCCCGTCTAGAATTAGTCGGTGGTCAGCTCTAATCTCAGCATGCTCACACATTTCAGCATCTGCTTGCCCCATCCTTAATAGTCGGGATCCTTTCATCTTCCTTCCCAAAACCACCTTCGTTCCATCTGCATTCTCCACACTCAGCCACTCCTTCATAAGAAGGGGAGGGAGAAAGCAACAGGCATGGTGGGGTGGTGGAGAGAGAGAGGGAGAGAGAGAGAGCAGCAAATTATCCAGACACATCAATCACGCCTCTGCCTTTTGAACTCTGCATCCGTTCGCAAGCTCAAAGCAAAAGGGGGATTGGCCAAGACTCGATGATTTCAGCCTGCCAAAGATGATAACTGTAAGTTGCCAAAACGGCCCTATTCCAAGCTGTAGCTTTAAAATCCCACTGTGGTGCCCTTTTGCAACAACTATCCACCATGAACACACCTGCTTGATACAGACTGTATGAGAAGGAGAAGGAGCAGCAGAAGCTAGCTAAAGTCCAGCATGCTTGTCCCCATCATGGAGGTGTCTCCCTGCAGAGATGCAATAAAAGCTCCTGTCCCACTTGTTTTTAGAAAAACCTAAGAGTGGGTGCAGAACCCAATTACAGGTAGTCCTCGACTTACAATGATTCATTTAGTGATCTTTCAAAAGTTACAACGGCATTGAAAAAAGTGACTTAGGACCGTTTTCACAGTTACAACCTTTGCAGCATCCCCATGATCAGAGGTGGGTATTCAGCAGGTTCTGACCGGTTCTGGAGAATCGGTAGTGGAAATTTTGAGTAGTTTGGAAAACCGGCCAATACCACCTCTGACTTGACCCCGCCCCCATCTATTCTCTGCCTCCCGAGTCCCAGCTGATTGGCTGGGTCTTCTTTGGTTGCCCTGCACAGGAGAATGGAGCTGGAAAGCAGGTTAGTGGGAGGGGGAGGGAATGGGATTTTGCAGTATCCTTCCCCTGCCACACCCACCAAGCCACGCCCACAGAACTGGCAGTAAATTTTTTTGAATCCCACCACTGCCCATGATCATGTGGTCAAGATTTAGATGCTTGGCAACTGGTTCATGCTTATGACCATTGCTGTGTATATATCTGTTATATTTCTAGAGTTGTTTTTGCTGGAAAATTACTGTGGCTAATTTTCAGTTTAGTTTACACCCAGCACACTTCCAGTCAATCCCTATATTCAGAACAGAACAAGCACATACACACCACCTACTACAACTACCAAAATGGTAGTTGGACATTTATTTGTTAAACAGACGTAAAAATGTTTAACTCAGTGGTGGGAGTATTATTTTTTTACTACCAGTTCTGTGAGTGTGGCTTGGTGGGCGTAGTGTGGCGTTGCTTGATGGGTATGGCAGGAAAAGGATACTATAAAATCCCAATTTCCTCCACAATCCTGGGCGAAGGTTACTGCAAAATCCCCATTCCCTCCCCACTGGCAAAAAGAAAAATGAAGAAGAGAGAAAGCTATGAGCAACAGGCATGAATATGCCTTATCTGTATCTATCAAAAGGGGAAGAACTTTCCAGAACCCCTGGAAACTGTAGTAAATATCATGGACATTAACCTTTGTATAAATATAACAGTAGAAGAACAACGATGAAACATAGGACAACCAGATGATTCTTCCTCTCTTTCCTATTATGAAAGAAACAATTTCATAATTGAGGATGATGTATCCAACAGTTCTAGACAGAACAATTGCAACTGGGGCAAATATTTCTTTCCCTTCTTTTCCACTTTGCAAAAATATTTTAATTTTGCCTTGTGGCATTCTAAGGAGGAGGGAGTGCGGGGGGAGGGGGGAAGGAGCCAGGAAAATTGCAGTTTAATAATCTGAAGTGAAATAACCTCAGTGCAGCCCGTCCTGGCTTTGATAGAATGAATTTAGTTTTGGAGAGAGTCTGAGGAATTTTGCATTCCAGCTCAAATCGTTTCCCATTTGATCCTGTTCACCAATAATCCAAAGTCTGAACCAACATCCACCTAATGGGAACAAATGGGCAGGCACCAAAGAGGACCTGTCCTGAACTCATCATCATTGCATCCAAATGCAGCTCTGGCTCTCCCACACGGCAGAATTAAAGGGCAGTGTTTAGGTCCTGGAGCATGCCAACTCTGTCTGATTATGCAGGATGAGCAGAAACTAAGGAAGACAAAAGTTCCTTCAGATAACTGGGTCTTTTGTCATGCAGGACTTTATAGGTGGTAACCAGCACCTTGAACTGTATCTAGGAGGTCAATTGGTAACCACTTCAACTCATCCCAAAGGTGTTTTTCCCAAAAGGCAACTGGACTTTCTTGTCCGTTTTTCCTTGAAAAACTTTTGGGTTCTCATCCAAGAAGCTTCTCCAGTTCTAACTGAATGGAAAGATTTATATTCTTTGCAGTCATCTGGTCATTAGCACTCTCAGGTTGTTTATCTCGGGTGTCCCCAGCCTCCAGGGTGCAAGCATCAGAAGGTCCATCTGCACCTGTGTGTGAAATCATGGCCCCCACCCCCACCCAGTCCAAGGAAAAAACCGCTCTCCACAAACTAGTCCCTAACTCCCCAAAAGGTTGGGGGCCGCTTATCTGTTATCATTTATCAGGGATTTACTTATCTGTATCTTCAGAATCACCTGGTGTGGAACCTTCTTGAGATTGCTGAAATGTTGTAACCAGAGAACTGTATGAATTAGAAATCCTATCCATAAATTAAATGTAGCTGCTGCATTAATAGCATCCCAGGTGTGAATCTCCTAGGCCAGCATACACAATTCCGATGCCCAAAACCTTATTTTTTTATATTCTTATTTTATTTTTTTGTCAAACATGTACAAGATAACAAGTATAGGTGTGAACATAAACATGAACAAAGGAAGTAAATACAGATAAATGGGGACAGTAAGACAGGGATGGTAGGCACGCTGGTGCGCTTATGCACGGCCCCTTTAAGGGCCTCTTAGGAATGGGGTGAGATCCACAATTTGCGGTTGAAGCTGTGAGGGGTTGAGGAGGCTTCCTGGAACTTTAGATGGATTCCATTCATTTATGCCCGCATGCCAGAGGCGGTATTCAGCAGGTTCTGACCAGTTCTGGAGAACCGGTAGCGGAAATTTTGAGTTGTTTGGAGAACCGAAAATACCACGTCTGACTGGAGATTTTACAGTATCCTTTCCCTGCCACGCCCACCAAGCCACCCCCACAGAACCAGTAGTAAAAAAAAATTGAATCCCACCACTGCCCCATTCTGCTGGAGATTTGCACGTTGCAAACTAGACCCTGAAGTCACTTCAAAACCCATGACTAAAGGCATGTGATCAAGTTTAATTTTATAATTTGTAAGAAGATTAAATTAATCTGAGGGGTTTTTGTTAAGCTTCTTCACAGTTTTGAAGTAGAAATTAAATTTAAAAATGTGTGCACGCATCTCAAAAGAGAAATGCAAATGCTCTCCAATGGTAACCCCGTTTTTCTCTCGGGTTTTTCAAAAATTCCAGCACAGATCAGCAAATA